CGGGCGGGGCGGGCGCCAATCTTTTGTCCTCTGTGTCCCGGCCCTTCCGGGAAGCGGCGTCTTCCTAGAACCGCCGGCTGCGCGGCGGGTGCGGGTGGGGCGCGGGCAGCACGTCTGCGCCGGCGAAAGGAAGCCCTTTGACATATTTCCAAGAACTTTCCAGGAAAAAAGGGCGGGGCCCGCGAGCCGAGCAATCGCGCGCTGGGGGCGGGGCCTTGCGCCCCGCGGCCAATCGCGGCGCGCGCACAGGAGGCCGACGCGACCGAGGGTGACCCGGAGGCGGGTACAGGGAGCGGCTGGGGAGGCCCGGCAGAGCGCTGCCCGGAGCGCCCCACTTCCCCTTGCACTCCGCTTCGCTGCGCTCCGGCCCGTTGTCTGGCTGTAGGACCAGCCATGGCGGCTCAGGGGGAGGCGTTCACGGGCCTGCCTCCCGGCCGGTGGCTCCCCCAAAGCTACCTGTCTGGTAGGCAAACACCCACTGCAGGCCTCACGTGGACCCCAGACTGTGTGTACGGCATGGGGCGGGATTGGAGAGCGACCTGGGGGATGGCAGAGGGAGGGCCCACAGCTGAGCAGGTCCTCGGGGCTAATACTGCGGCCACCATAGTCGAAGGGATCCAGGAGAGTTTTCTCCTAAAGAGTTGGGGGAGAAGGCACATCCCAAGCTTTTGTGGCCGGTGGGGCCCTGCAGCCTTGGCTCTCCTCGCCTCTGGCCGGCCACCAGTCAGGGAACTGAATGCCGGCTTGGGGAGCAAGCGCCAGCTGACCCCACAAGACGGTCCGTGTGCATCTCTGAGTTGATGCCCCCTCCTTCTCCAAAAGCAGGAGAGAGACCTGGAGCTCCAAACGCCGGAGATAAGCTGAAGGTGGAGTGATAAGTGGCACTCGCTCCCATCTATACTGAGCCGTTGATGCATTTGAATTTCAACCTCTGGCTTAGCTCCATCATGCAGACAAGACTGAGCTCCAGGGAACAAAACGCCTTGCTAGGAAATAGCAGGCTCAGAGTTTGAGACCTACACTAAGTCAGAAGCCCATGCTCTTACCCGTGATCCTCTCCACCTTTTCCCAGTTCTCTGGACTCACCAGGGAGCATCTTGAAAGACCATAGGTGCTGTGTACACGTCCTCCAAGCCCTTGGGCTAGAAGGAGGGGGAGAGAATTGGGGAGTGGCAGGGTCCACCCCTCCCCACTGCCTTGTGTGTACCTCCAGGAACCCTGGAAAGAGGGTAAGCTTCAGGTCCCCTGGCAGGGAGGGACACCAGACAGTTACAACACCTGGCAGTCCCCACAGTCCTTGGGCATGGTTTCGAGGGCATATCCTGCTCTACCCATGGCAGAGAGGGCTGAGCTTGCCCTGCCTGGCAGAGGGCAGAAGACAGAGGGGCTCTCAAAGCAAAACTCTGAAACAGGAAAACATAATTGGCTAAGATGATAAATGACTTCAGGGGGCCCATTTCTCTGTAAAAACCCTAATGGGAAGTCGAGCTTCATTGCAGCCCCACCAGCCCCTCCCAAGTAGGCCAGAGGCTGGTTTCTTGGGATGGGGACAGGTGTGGGTATCTCATTATCCACTTTGATGGCTGGGGCACCTGGAGACCCAGCATGGGGTCCCTGTGTAAAGTGGTGTCTTTCCAGTAGGAACTGTTTACTGCCCCATTACTGTAATGACAACAGGCCTCACAGCTGCCAAGCAGTAGAGCTAGGGTTCTCTCTGGGGTCAAGTCCTGAGACTCTACACCTTCCCGCTGTGACTGCTGAATGCTTACAGTGTGACGGGTGCGCTCAGCAATTTCCAGTCTCATTTCATTGTGTAGTACATATTGTCCCCTTCCTGCAGGTGAGGAAGCTGAGGCACAGAGAGGCTACAGTGTACCCTAGATGTCACAGCCGTCAGGTGGTGACTTGGGGCTTGGAGACAAGCTCGCTCTCTTTCCCCACTTCTCTAGGCACCTAAGGCATACCAACTCCTAAGCTTTCTTTAGGATCCAGCTTTAAGGGCCTCGGTGAGGCTTCCCTGCCCCCAGCCAGTCAGTGTTAAAGCACTGTGGGTGTCCCCTTGAAGCACCCCTACAGAAGTTGTGCAGTTGTGTGTAAACAATAGGGCCCCAGGATTTTATCCTCCAACCACCCATTGTGAATTTGACAGTGCTGTGCCCCTCACCTGTGTGCCGGGAACAGGGGGCACCCCTCCCTTGCCCCAGTTGCCGGCCTGCCCCTGATTGCTCCGGCCCCCCTGCTCTAGCCAATTCCCCACACCCATGCTCTGACTGCTGGGCCCACACTGCCACCCAGTGGCAATTCCTCTCATGGTTTCACGTGACAAATCTGCTTCCAGGATAACCCTCCCCTGCCCTTCAAGGATGGGTCTTGCTGCAGGATCACTCTAGCCCTCCCTTCCTAGAACGGTCGCTAGATGGGTTTTGAGAATACGCAGCAGCGTGCTCCTAAAATTCTGGCCCATTTGGTCTCTATACTCTCACCATGTGCGGCCTTTCCCTGAAGGACAGTGCACATGACTGTGTATGTGTTGGAGGGTTTATTCATATCCCACCCCTCTGCCAGGCACTCACCATGCCCCTTTGTCACTGTGAGCTACTTCAAAGACCTCAACCTACATCCCCTGGGGCATCCAGGGGTCAGGAGGGCCACTGTCCAGCCAGCCATCCCCAGCACGAAACTGCAGGTGCAGGTGGCACACGGTTGCTGGAGTGTGAGCCGCTGGGGAAACCAGGCATTCTGCTCTCCTGTGTTACGTGAGCAGTTGAAACGTCTGTCTGTGGTGGGCCCATGTGGGGAATATATGTGCTTGGGTAAACCCTGGAGTTCGCTAAGGAGGTGGCAAGGGGAGAGGCACCACCAGGGCTTACTTTTTACGGTTCTGAATGGTTTGAGTTCATTATAACATGCAAGCTTTACTTATGCAATTAAACATTTTAATAAAAAAGAGACCATTTAAAATGCATATAATTAGAACATTTTTAGAACAATTGTAATCTAACTCCATTAAAAATGTATTTCAGAAACAACAGCATATACTACAATGCCCTTGGCTGTGACAGAGAGCCAGCCTCCACCCTCAGCTGCCTAGGACTCTGCTCGTGAGTGGGACCCTGCTTGTCTAGAACAAGACTTTTCTCTGGATTCTTCTGGTCCAGAGGGAGGATCCTTCTCCAGGCTCCAAGCAACAAAAGCTTCTGGGTCACAGGCCTCCCCCAGGGCTCTGAGATCTTGGATGAGACTCTCAGGTGGGGCTCAGGGACAGAGGTTCTGGGTCCAGGTGGCCATAATGTGTGTGTGTGCATGTGCGTGCCTAGCTCTGTGTACCTGTTCACGTGTGTAAACGTGATTGTGCATGGTGTGTGCATATGTGAACGTGTGTGAGCACCTCTGTACACGTGGATGTGGGAAGAGAGCAGGGGGACACGCTAGAGAGCCGCATGGTTCGAGGGTAAGAGCTAGGCCCTGGAGTTGTTCTTTGCAGGTTGGGACAGGGACTCTGCACGATAGCTACTGACCTCAGGCCGGTCGCCTGACCCCTCAGGGCTTGTCTGTGTGTGTGTCTGTCGCATCGGCTGTGTGGGATGGGTGCAGTTTTCCCTCCTCCATTCCCAGTGAAGTCATGGGGTGCCTAAGTAGAGCACCCACCCAGTGTCTGATCCAAAATAAGGATCCGTATGGTCAGCTGAGGCTATCGTTGGGGTGTCTGCCTCGGTGAGCCCTGCTACTTGAAGTTGCCTCGTGATGACGGACAGAGCTCCCAAACCCACCCCCATCTGGCTCAATGGGTGCACGCAGAGGTGCCCATGCCCTCCAAGCTGCTGCTCTGAAGGGCCTGGACCCGCAGCCCCTCCCCCGCACTGGCCCCGATTTGCGCCCACGTGGGCCTGGAGGTGGGGGTCACTCGCAGGGCTCTGGTCCCAAAGCCAGAACAGCTGGGAGACACCCTGCGTGAGACCCAGGCCGCGGTGCCTGAAGTCCTGCTAGTGGCCTGTAGATGGCAGCAGAGGCCCGCTCAGTGTCCGGCGCAAGGCGCCCGGCCCTTCCCAGTCCCCAGTGAACCCGCAGGTGGGCTCCTCAGCCTGGGGGCGGGGGCTGGGGCTGGGACTGGGGACGACGTTCAGGAGCAGCGCACATTTGTCCCAGGCGACAGCAGCACCCCGGCATCTCCTGACAAGTTGTTTCCTCTCAGGGGCCTCAGTTTCATCGACTGTGAAATAAAGGCTGTTTATCAGCCTGCGATGAGAAAACAGGCTGTAAATACCGAAGGGCATCTAAGACCGGCTCAGAATGGAGACCTAAATGTGGAAGGGAAACCGCGTGGCTAACGGCTATCTGGCGCGGGGTGGGAGGAGAGACTTTAACGCGACACCGAAAGCAAGCCCAAGTCATAAGGTGGAGAGTTGATGGATCTGGCCACATGGGAATTTAGGGGTTCTGCTCTGAGGACGCTGTGTCCCAAGGAAAGAATAAGCCTTGGATATGAGCTGGAGATGCACAGAAGGGGAGAGCCGTCAGGGACCAGAAAGAAGCAACGAAACGCCATTTCACCCGGCACGTTGGCAGAAATGATCAGGTGCGCTGGAGGTGGGCCACCTCCAAGGAAGTCGCAGGCCACCCTGGAGGGTCATCCTGGAGGGCGGCCTGGCCGCGCGCAGCCTGGAACTCAAGTGGCCGGCCACCTGCAGCTCCAGGAGAAACAAGGCGTCCTTGCGCTGGCATTTACTAGGTCGCCGGGTTGTCCGGGCCCCGGAAGCCTGGGAGGTGCCGCCCGCTCGCGAAGGCACGCCCCCACAGTTGTCCCCGCCCTGCCGGGGCCCGTTTGGCCCTTTAAGGCTGACCGAGCCCGGCCCCGAGTCCGGGACGCGCGGGGCGGAGAGGAGGGGGCGGTCACGTGGGCCGGCGGCCGCGCAACTCCGCTCGGGGCGCCCGCCGGCTCCCGCCACCACCGCCCCTGCCCCTCGCCCGCGCCGCAGCCAGGTGGACTGTGCCAGGTGCGCCCTCGCCAGGTACGGCCTCACCGGCCCCGTTCCCTCCCGCTACCACTCCCGGGACCTGGAGGCCACCTCTCGCCCAGCCCCTTCCCCTCTGACAGGTGTCCGGGCGGCCTTGCTCGTGCCCGGCTGCGCCACAGCAGCGCCTGCCGCGCGTGGGTCTTGGGGCGGTGCGCCCTGCACTCCCAGCCCTGTCCCAGGCCCGGCCCCGTCTGGCACAGGCACGCCCAAGCTGGGGTTACTGGAGGAGTTTGAGCGGAGCTCACTCTTTCCCACTCCCCCAGGACCCGGGACGTGCCAGGCTGGGGCCGCCTTTGAGCGCCCCGCAGCGGCCATGGATGGCGAGACAGCGGAGGAGCAGGGTGGTGCACCCTGCGGGCCGGACTCGGCCGGCGCTTCCGCCCTCTGGGGGCGGCGGGAGCCCAAGAAGTACGCCGTGACCGATGACTACCAGTTGTCCAAGCAGGTGCTGGGCCTGGGTGTGAACGGCAAGGTGCTGGAGTGCTTCCACCGGCGCACCGGCCGGAAGTGCGCCCTGAAGGTCAGTGTCCTCTCATTGCCGCTTGGGCCCCCCGGAGGGCCCAATAGCAGAGGCCTGTGTGTGCAGACATGCTCAGGACTCTTGCTGAGTTTATGCTTAGCACCCCATTTCATCTTCACACTTTCCTGTGAGGTCAGGCCCCCGGGCCTCCCTCTCCCTGCTTTACAGATGGGGAAACCGAGGCCTACCCTAGTTAAGTTCGCTTCCCCAGGGAGCGAGGGGCGGAATCATATGGGTAGAGCCTGCTGCTCCCGGAACCATGGACAGAGTGACTCCTGACTCGAGTTCTGGCCCAAGGCGGGCCCTGGCTCAGTTTGGCTGCCGCTTCCGGGGGAGGCCTTCCTGACTGGAATGGGTTTAAGTTTTCCCTCTGCCCAAGGCTGAGTCCCTGCCAACGCTTGGGCAGGCTGCTTTCTCCTGAGGCCCCTGCCTGCCTGGGCTAGAGTGGTGGGAGCCCCCAGGGCTGGCTGGTGGGCAAGGCTGGTGCCCATCACACTGGCAGGCAGAAGGCTGCTGATAGGCTCCAGCTAAGTCATGGGGCCCCATGTCAGAAGGGGCAGGCCCTGCCCCAAGCCTGACCCACCCTGGTGCCTGGGCAGAGGGCGGGCCAGCTATCTAGCTATGTCATAACACCACCGGCACACTGGAGGCCTGGCTTAGACCTCACCGATGCAGGTGGAGTCCAGGAGTTCTGGGGGTGGCCGATCTTGCCACATGGTTCTGTCTTACGTCACTTTGTTCTGGGCCCAGGACCCAGCCCACACCCAGAATTCCTTGAGTCTGTCATCACTGGGACTTTACCCAATTGCAGCTTGTGCTAGTGGCCACCCGGACAGGTAGAGTGTGGCAAGGATGGCTCCTGGAGGAGCAAAGGGTCCTCCCATTTCACAGACGTCGCAATTTACAAGCCTGAGCACAGAGTCTCTGCCCTCCTTGGTGTCCAGGCCTAGTGCCCTGGCCTCTCTCCACATCTGTCCTCTCAGCCCTAGCTGGTAGATAGTGCTCAGCACGAAGCCTGGAATGCAGCAGCAGACAGAACAGGAAGGGCTGTGGTCGGTGTCCCTGTAGCTGCTGCTGTTCTGGGGGGTGGCCAGAGGAGCAGGCTCCTCCTTCTCAGGGAGCAGGGCCTCTTCCCCTTTCTTTCATCCCCTGACCACTGTCGGGGTTACGTGGGCTTCCCTCCCTCCCAGGGCAGCTTCCGTGCTGATGGTCAAGCCCTTGCCAGTCCCCCAAAGGCTTGCTGCTCTCCCCTTGCAGGAGCTGGAGGACTATTTGCCAGGTATGGGGGGCAGGGGACTGCCTCCTACTGACCTCTTGCTTTGTCCCCTTCCAAGCCTACCTGGTAATTGGCACCCCTCAGCTTTACTCCAAATGGGGCACAGCCCTGCCGTCTTCCCCAACTAGCTCTCAGTCCTCTCATGTATATGAAAAGTGGGGCTTGGGAGTTAGTGCTCAGAAGTCACATGGCTTGATTGGGATGGCGGACTGTGGGAGAGACCAGTGTCCCCTCCCTGCCCTCCTGACTTCCTGCCCAGCCCACCTGGCAGGCAGAACAGGCCTGGCAGTTAGATAATAGAAGTGATAAAAGGCCCAGAGAGGGTGGGGGTTCCCATGAGGAAGGAGAGGTGGAGTGGTCCTTCCTGCCCGCTTTTTGGGCTCTGCCTGGGGGCCTCCCCTCTGACGCTGGCGCTCCCCACGTCTTCCTCTTCCCTCCATGCGAGAGTGGAATGGCAGGGGCTCCAGCCTGGTTCTTTGGGTGGGGCTGAGGCTGGGCAGGACTGCTGGGCGGGCCTGCCAGGTGAGCCAGGTACTTTCTCATTTGGCAGCTGCCTCTCCCTCACCCACTGTCCCCAGACTGGTCAGATCAGCCTCTGTGGGGCCACTTGTAATGGAGTCAATGTTTGGGAAGGGTGTGGGGAGTCGGTCTCCTCGCCCTGAGCTGTTCCATGGGGTGCCCTGCTCCTGGAGGAAAGATCTGGGAGCTCTCAAGCCACCACGCTGGTGGGGCCTTCTGAATGGCTGCCTGTGGGCAGTTTGCTCTTCAAATGAGGATCCCAGGGAGGGCAGCAGACCCTCGGATATACAAACAGTGAGATTTTTGACAGAGGTTGTCTCTTTTGAGAGGCTTCACCCCTGCCCGGCTGGCCTTGCTCCCAGCTTTAGAACTCTGTTCCCAGCCCACTGGCAGGACACTGTGTAAGGACTCCCGACTCCCAGAACCTTCCCCAACCTGTCCAGGAGCTGGGCCATCTCTCCAAGGCCCCAGGCCTTGCTATTGTGGGTTCTGTTATTCTCATAAAGCCTAACTTTTCCAGAGCATTCTGTCTGGCAGGCCCTGTCTCCAGTGCAGATGCTTGTTACCTTACCTAACTTCTGTCATTCCCGTCTTTTGGATGAAGGCACTGGTATTCAGACACCAACGTTCAGCTGAATGACTTGCCCAAGATGCGCAGCTGGCGCGGGCCAGGGCTGGGATGTTCGCTAGGTAGCTTGGTGCCAGGTCATAGTATCTAAGTCACCCCATGCGTCATGAAAGTCTGTGGGCACATGGGAGGGTCTCTGACACTTGACCTCGGGAAGGATGCTGGCTTTGCCCTCCATGGTTCCACCGGGAGCCGGGCAGCCCTAGCTGGGCTCTCAGGGGTGCTGCCGGGGTCTGCCTGTACCTGCCCAGCTCCCCTCACTGTGCGGGACCCTATGTTTGTGAGTAGATAGGTGGGGGTTCTGCAAGGGCCGCACACAAGGACCGTGATGGCTGTTCTGCTGAGTGGAGTGGCAGGGAATCACCCCAAGCCTTGTGAGCCTGAGACAACTCCAGCCCAGCAAGATCCAGAGTGCCAGGGGCAGTATGTCGGGTTAGTGAGCGGGTGAGAGGAAACGGTGCCAGAGCTGGGCAGCCAGGGGGGCTTCCTGGAAGAAATTGCCAGCTTTAGTCCAGGCCTCCGGCCTGAGAGGGAAGTGGACGACAGAGAGGAGCCCGGGCTGGGTGGGACTGCAGGCCTGGTTTGCACAGCTCAGCGCCTGCTGTGGGTCAGCACACCCTACTAGCAGTCTCGTGTCCCAGAAGGCATGGGAACTCGGTGGGGACGGCGTCCAGGCCCTGACCACTGTGGGGCTGTGGAGGGCCTGAGGGGCTGTGTGAGAAGAGGCATTCACACAGGGCCTTGCAGGTCTGCCCCCAGCTGTGCACCACGTCCCTCAGCCCGCGGGGCCTCCGTGTCCTGCTGCTCCCCCCGGCTTTCCCATAACACCACTGGGACCCTTGTGGAATGCTCCTGCCGGGGGTCTCTAGGGGCTTCTGGGTCACCTGGGCTGCCATTCAGCTGGGGCAGTGTGGGAAGGGCCTGGTCTCCATGACAGCAGAGCTGTTGTGTCTGTGGAAGTTTGCATTTGGGGGTGCTGTTTTCCTGCTTGGATCCCTTATCGTCCTCTCCCAGGGTCTCCCTGGGGCATTGTGAAGGGACACCGCCGGGGGGTGCAGCAGGTGCCTGTAGTGTCTATTGACCCTAGTCTGGCGACTGGCTGCTGTGTGTCACAGCTGGAGTGGACACAGTGGCAATCGCCTGGTGACTGTGCCGTGAGCATGTGAGTATGTGCACCACGGCCTTCCTGCACTGGGCCCACTGCTCACAGGGCAGTGAGACGGCGGCTCCCGTGGCTCCTGTGTTTTCCCAGAACTTCGCTTCTGCTGCCCTCGTTCCCATCTGCTCGAGATCTTGTGTGGCCCCACATGAGAGGCTGCCTGGCTGGGGTGGACAGAGGAGTAGGGCTCTGGGCTTGAGATCCTCCTGCCACTTTCTCTCTGAGTGACCTTGGACAAAAGGCAGTTTTAGAATCTTTTGCAAAAGGACTGCCTTTGTGGTGCGGTTGAAGCCTGGGCTTGAGCACGTGGCTGGGCGAGGACACCGTCTCAGTGACTGTAAGTGTCCCTGTGGTACTGCTATGAGACAGCATAGGCCAGCGGACGCTCTCCAAGGTGGAGCTCATGAGCGACAGGGTGCGTGACAGATGGCACATTCTTGGCCTTTATGGGGACGCACTCAGCTCACCCTCTACCTGGGGAAGCCAATCCCTTGTGGGTGGAAGGGATGGTCGGAGGGAGCTCTGGGTCCTGGGCTCCTACCCGGCTGGTTGCCCTTTTAAAACTAGATGGTTAGGCCTGTGATTGTGATGAGAATCCCCCTGCTGGGGAATGGCGGGGAGACCAGGCAGGAGGACCAGGTGGGAGGACCAGGAAGAGGA